TTGGGCGGATTCTGGCGCGTATTGAGATTTCTCCTGGCGCCCAAAAATTCATGCAAAAATAAATCGCACACATTATCTGACATCTACCGAATCTTTCCCATAAACAAAAGAAAAACTGTCAGGCTCAATAAATTGTGTAAAACAATCAATTGAAAAAGTGTCATGGCGTATTCTTGCCACTTATGCAATGTAAAAATGTGAGGGGAGGCAGGGGGCATCACCTTTTGGAACACAGTGTGGTATACCTTAAGTACCATAATAAAATAGATAAATAGATAACCTTTGGCCTAAAAATGTATTAATGTTAGTTTTTAAAAAAGCGGTTATATTTTCGAACATGGATAACCCCGATTTGCTGGTAGTTGTTGATGGTGTTGCTTGTTCTTATTTTTTGGTAGGACTAAGATATGTTAAAAACAATTTTAAAATGTGAAATATAAGAGAAATCTATTACTTTATAATTAATGATATGAAAAAAGACAATATTTCTAAAAAATGATATGTTATTGTACATTGGCGGATTAAGGGGCGCAATCTGCTCGTGTCCCCCTTTAAGACCCAATTATTATAGCTTAGAGACACAAATTAAAGTGCCTTTTTTTTATAATTTCTGTGTCTAATAATTTTTTTTTTATGAATTGTACTCTATTCTTTCTTTATACCAAATCCTGGATCCGCCGCCGCTAATATAATGATATAAATAGTTGTTACAAATTTATTGTCCCCCACATAAACTTTTGGATCAGATTCAAGTCGAAATAAAAACAAAGTTTCCCCAGACAACTTTTGTGACGCCACCAAATACTAGTTGGCGACACTCTTTGTTGTTTGCGTATTTACGGGTGTGTATGTGTGAGTATGTCTGTGCGTGTGCGTGCGCGTGCTTGTAGACTGTGCGACATGTGGAATGTGATCAAACGCTGTATTATGACGTCAAATCAATCCTTGGGTGTGGCGAAATTTCCGTGGGCAACAAAACAAAAGACGAGGGTGAGACAAATGGACAAAGGATAGGAAGAGGGAGACGGAAAGAGTGGGGACGGTAAAGTAATGAAAAGAGAGATGGAGATAAGAGAGAGAGAGGGGGGCAGGAAGATGATAAAAGAGGGACATAGAATACGGACACAGGAAGAGAGGTAGATGAGGCAGTGGAGATAGAGAAAAAGAGAGGGGAAGAGGGGGTGAGAGAAAGAGACCAAGATAAAGAGAACAAAAAATAAATAAACAGAGAAAGAGGGACGACGAGAGAGAATAATATTGAAAACATAATATAGAGAGAGAGAGAGAGAGAAAGAAATTGGGTGTGTCACGTGATAGGTGGAAGAGAACGGAAGTGCCTGGTTGAGTTGTGTATGAGGTGTTTTCATCGATTATGCGTATTTCGTATGTGAGTCTCCCTAAATATTCTTTATTCAGCCTGAGCCAGTAATTATCATTAACGAATGAAATAAACTAATCAGTTTCGTCTGGAAAGGAGGCTTGTATAATCTTGAGGACGGCGATCGCGCGAACAAACTCGGGATGGGTTTAAAAATACCGTTCCCTCTTTGGTAGGTGAGTCGACACTCGGTGTGACAGTTGCACCGGAAGTACTCGTTTACAATGACGGATTAAAGTGCCATATCCGAGGCAGTTGGCGCAACGTTGGCCATTCGTGTTTGGAGTTTGGTTTCGGTTAATAAGCCAAGAGAAAACGTACCTGTAAATTAAAAGAAATGTCTTGAGATCTTATAATCAATTCAACGATTTAAGTTATTAACAAGAAAAGTTGCATCGTTAAACAAAAATGTATGTATGTGTGTATCCGTTTGCCTGTGTGCGTGTGACTGGGCATGTTTGTGCGTGTGCGTTTACGGGAAATTATCGTTTATACATTTTACCATTCAGTATTTGCATTTGAGGAAATTAATAAGGTCCATGTGAACGACCCCCCCCCCCCCAAAAAAAAAAAGAAGAAGATTAAAAGAAATCGACAAATAAACAAAACAGAAATACATGTATTAAGCAAAAAAAAGACAACCAAGAAAACAAGCCCGCACACCTCTAAACACGAAACTGTAATCTGCTAATTGCAATTTGGGTTACATTTTATTAAGGGGAGATTTGCTATCTTCTTAAAATGGCACTGCATGAGCATAAATTTATGGTTGATGTCATTTTTTTTTAAAGAAAAAATATGATAATTGTTTATGAAATGATTTTCGAGAAATGAATCACCAGTGTCACTAAATATTAATAGATTGCCGGATGATTATGTTGAATATCTGTGGAAGGAAATGAAAGAATGATACAAAAATGTTATTATTTTTGCTACCGATTCTTCTTCCTTTTCTTTTTCTTCTTCTTCTTCTTCCTCTTCTTCTTCTTCTTCTTCTTCTTCTTCTTCTTCTTCTTCTTCTTCTTCTTCTTTTTCTTCTTCTTCTTCTTCTTCTTCTTCTTCTTCTTCTTCTTCTTCTTCTTCTTCTTCTTCTTCTTCTTTTTCTTTCTCTTAAGCTCTTCTTCAGCTTACATTTGTTTCCTTCAGGTGTGAAAAGTTTTATTGTACATTATTTTGTACGAGAAACCAACAGCACACCTGTAGTGGCCAAGCAGTGTTCCAACACCCATCCATACTTAGGTACAGGAACGACCATCCAACCCCTCCCCTCTCTCCTGTTCTCTCTCCTTACGTACGTCACCTTGTATTACTCGGCTGGGTTGGTCCCGTCAGCTGTCAGCTAATAGTGTCCACCCGATAATTAGTTAATAGTCGCAGTTTAATCACCCCAATATAGTAATTAATCGCACGCCTTACGAACGTCCCCGTTTCACAAGCTCTCAAAATCTCGGAAGCCACATTCAAACCGTATATCCACAGTCGATATTTTAAACCTCGCCTCAATCCTCCTTTTGTCTTTCCTAATACATTTAATGAATACTTTTATACTTAAATGCTTCTCGTAGCTTCTTAAGCCGCGGATAATTCGATTGAATGCACTGTTTTGGCGGGGAAAGGGTAGGCATATAACGCACAGTCAATGGGAGTTTTTAGTTGTTCTTTTGGGGAATGCACCATAGCGAATTAACACGCATTATTGTGGGCGGTTTGATACTTTTAGCAGGTTGCATAATCAATTCGTATTTTGTGGCAGGTTTCGCCACAAACAAATACATGGCAAAGTAGATGCGCATGAAATATGAATTCTTTTCAACTGCTCATATAACAACTTTTCCCTGCATCCATATTTATTTAAGATTATAGATTTTAATCTTTTTTTATATAAAAAAAGAGATATTTTGTACAAATAAATAACTTGAACTTTCTTTTATACTGATAATGAATGATGTAATTCATTTAATTTTAAATTTCAATTATTGTAAGATTAGTTTAACATCTCATTGATTTACTCAATACCCAGGTAGGAATTATGTAAATTGAATATTCAAATACGGTTTGTTGAAACAAAAAAGGAATGTCCGAGACGTCGGCTACTTATTCTTCAGGTAAGTGGTAACTGAAATGTGGGGTAAAGGTTTTTATTCAGTCACAGACGTAAAAAAATAACAGTTTGTAACATGGAAATTACAACATGTACCATCACCCCCATCCTTACTCCCATGAACACACCACCAAGTCTACCAGGGAAAGTTAGAATGCTACAATAAATAATGCAATTCCTGTTCACTAATGCATAAAAAGTTTGGTTTAATAAACCATGAAATTCACTCAGCACATCATGAATGTATTATATCACCCTCAATTTTGTAAGCTCCAAAGGATTTACCTTTCACAAATTAGACTAATTCCTGCGCAACCTAATTGTCATACCCTTTACAAAAGTGAGCAGTGCTCACCCAAGCATGAATTATTTTCGGACTTTATGGTGTCATATATTTTATGAGCTTTCCATATATATGAAACTTTTCCCCCAGAATCATATATTTTTTTTATTCGGCAGCAATTTCAAAAGTGTATAGTTTTTTTGGGGGGACACACGGTATAGTAGCCAAAGGACTAATAGTGCAATGTTTACAATAATTATATATCAGAAAGACATAGATTGAGAAATGTTATAAGTAATTATAAAAGTACATACTTTAAATCATGTATACATTTTAAAAATATTTATAATAATGTTCGTATTAGAATGCAAAAGTAAGGTAATTTAATTTTGTGTAGTCCAAGTGACCGCACTATATGACTAAGAGAGAGGGAAATATATAACACTGTCAAATATGATGTTTATTACACAAAAATCACGAGATAGCTGGACAAGTCCAACATGAAGAAAAAATGAAACCATTCCAGACATTATCCGGCCAAAACAAATTTATGATGAAATAAGCAGAGACATATGTTTCTAATGACTCCAAATTATAGAATGCACGCATGCATGTGTTCATCAGATTTGAACAAGACTTATCTAATTGACAAAATGGGGAACGGGGTAAAAACTTTCATCTTGTAGACCAAGCTATATGATTTCAAAATGAAGACTCACTATTCACCCCAGTGGCTGTTATAGAGAGGTTTAGGGTATCAACTGCCCCCCAAAAAACACACACACACACACACCCACACACACACACACAAACAAAACACAACAAAAACAAAAATTCAACACCAACCCCGTAAATTCGCGAGGCACATGTAGAAAATAAAAAAAATTGCCACAAGCCCCCAAATCCACAAACCCGCCCCCTTAATGTATTCTTTTAGAAACGCTTCTTTATTTACAACCCCCCCCCCCCCTCCCCTCTTCTTTTCCCTCTTTCGCCCACCTGATTATCAGCAGTCGGAAACCGTTCGAATAAGTACTAGATGTTCATGATTAATTAAGTCAAGAGTGTGTTGTATGGGAAGTGTAATGTGGTGAAGCTTTTCAGGGTGTTGTCCAAAGGGCATGCCATGATGTGGGCCTGAATCATAGCGAGCACGTTGTTCAGGGTTAGGCTCAGCCGATGAATAATGCTTCAGCCCGAACGAGACGATTTTGGTCCTCGATGACAGATCACGATCATTTCCCGTAAACTGTCGTCACATTGCATACCTCCATCGCACAGGTCTCTCTCTCTCTCTACATCAGAATTCGCTTTTACGTCTAGGCCTATACTTCCCTATGTATGGTTTCACTTTAATGATACTCGGGATAGGTGATTTACATATAAAGGGATAACCCTATTAACGAACTCCTCATAAGTGTAGGTCTTCATTTTGCAGCGTGATATCACATCGCTCTATCGATATCATTGAAACAAAATCCGCGGGAAAAGTAACTTGGTTTTCGGCAGAGAGAAAAACTTTTCGTCCCTGCACATGCGCAGAAGGCCGCCCCGTCATCGACTTACGGGTTAAACCCATTTCAATCTCCGATTTCCTGGCCTAACGGGGGTGCGAGTAACAGATAATAATTTTTCTTGAGGTTTATCATCTTTTTATGAAGCAGCAAGGCGGCAAGTTCACCGAGGGGGAAAAAATCAGAAAAAGAGAAATAACATCGGGGGTGAGATCATAGATATTTCATTAAACATTCATCGAAGTGCCCGCTTTCTTGATGAGCGAAAGCATAGCACGTCTATTGCGTCAACACCGTAATTACGTTCTAGAGCCGGCAATTGATCCATCCAGTAGCGACTGCCACCTTGTCAAGTTCGCCGTAACTTCGGGCGTACCAAGCGTGCAATTCACCGTCTTGTATTCAAGTTGAAACTGCCTCTTCTATAACGGTAAGTCATACCAATTTGTCTAATTAGAACTAATCTCAGCAATTCAAGTGCGCTTTTTTCTGTTGCTTAATCTGTTCCGATTTTGCTTGATCTGTGTAAGTAGAGCTGATTTTGTTCCTTTCACCAATGCACCTTGTCACCTCATTTTGGGATTAACCAATTAATTGTTGAAGAACCCGAGCAAAGTAAAACTTACTCATAATACAAAGTTACTTTTAAACCGTCAGACGAATGCTTTGCCACTCAAAATAATATATTCGTTCGGATTGAAGGTTTATGTTACACCTTCATTATTTATTTTTATTCCCCTTTTCGATTTGATATTTTAGCTTCTTTCTGGACAGATACTTTTCAACTTTTATTTTATTTTCAAAACAGTCTGCTTATGTTAGAACATTCATGTTTTACTTTTCATATTGTGGTATGAGCAAAGCCTTACGTTTAATCTCGTCAATCTGTTGCTCTTATTACGCTCATGATAAGAATTTAGCACAAACTTATTTCAAGCGCATTTTCTCTAATTTGCAAGAGCTACGACTTAACAATTAATCACAATCAACAGATTAAAGAATATTTGTTACAGCGTCGATTGAAGTTATGACATGAAATATTGTAATTATCATTGTCGGTAAGATGTCTAGCCTTAAATCTTAAATGAGAATACCTTTTTATTTAAACAAGACAAAAATCGGATTGAAATTGCATTCTTGTGATATGCATCCATTATGTTTCTTATCGCATAGTTTATATAAGTTTGTTTATCTTTCTAATAGATCTCAATATGTAGTTTATATTAACAATTCCGGCGTACCACAAGGTTCTGTCTTAGGTCCTCTAGTGTTTTTTAATTTGCATTAATGATCTTACACATTCCTTTGACAAATTTGAGTACATTATGTACGCTGACGATACCACTTTATGTCTTATCATCTGATTATCTTGCCAATGTTTGGTTAGATGTGTATCAAAATATATTACCGTTAGTTTGCGGGGAACGTGTTGTGTGAAACGGTAAAAGGATGTTAAGAAAACTGTAAATAGAACCAAAAAGATAAAAACCTATCAAGTGTTTTCAAATAGCATAATTCTCCTTTGATAAGAAGATCAAGGAAGAGATGATGAGGATGATGATAACGGGGATGACGGCGCTGATGATGATGGGTTAGATGGTGGAGAAGATTTCTCATATAATACATTAACGATCATGGATTTTATTATACTTTTTAAAGAAATACCATGGCATGCGGGATAATATTTTTTTAATGTTTCAGTAAATATAATCATAAAATGCGTAACTCATATTTAAAATTGTTTTTGTTGATGCTTATGTAATGCGTATCTTTTTTGAATTTGTATAAAGTGCAGTTTGATAGAAGACGAATTGTGTTAGGATGTTATATTATCCTTTATTATTATTTCCGATTCGGGGATCTAAAAAACACAGTCTTCCATGAACACGATGAATACATAAATCTGCATCACGTAATAGGCCATTTTCGTAATGTAACCACATTTAATGCATACTTCGTCGTGAAATGACTACAAATTAATTCATTCACCTATTAGAAGTACTTGTATCCCCATAGTCAGAATTCGAATTGCATACAGTATTTGTTGCTAGGTAGGACAAACATTATGGCTTGCCCTACCTAACAACACATAATACATACAGTTTGCATTCTGACTATGGAATTACAATTATTCTTCACAGGTGAAAGAATAATTTGCATTGATGCACTTCACAAAGACGTATGCATTCAATTTGGTTACATTACGAAAATGGCCAATTATGTAAAAGTATTTCTTTAATGATCTTGTCATATGTTTCATCACCTTATTGTGGTGTTTGGGATTATGATCAATTCCAGAAAATGAGATCAGGTTTTAGAGACACTTTTCTCTTTCAAAATGATGAAATGTGGCGCTTATCACGTAGAAAGTTGATCCTTTCCATTCGTCTCCCCCACCCCGCCCCTTCCTCGATGAGATGTCGTCATCGTCATGGATTATGACATGGGAAACTTCACGATGTTAGTCGTATTCTGATAAGTTTTCCTTCACCAGACAACACCTGTTTCGTCAACTTCATTACAGAAATTAACACCCGTTTTTTTTTCTAAGGGGAGGGGATAGAACGAGGAGGGGGGGGGGGTAACTTCGCCCCTTTCCTTAATGTGTCTTTGCATAATGATATCTGATCAGAATCTAGAATCTAAAATCTGATCAAAGAGATTCCGAGAATTCAAGCCCGCTTAGTCGCATCCTTTACTAAGACTCGTGTGGGGTGCACCCCCAACCATACGTTTTAATCTAGTAATCTTGTCCCGGTTTTGTATATACACACTAGTTAATGTCCGGATATAAGAATTTGTTAGTGATTAGACGGTTAAACCGATCGCGATTTTAGGCCTGTGGTTTCTGAAGAATGTGTCTCCCGACTTCGGACGGCTCATCTGCGGCAAAAATGAGCTAAAACATACCGCTATGGTATTTGGGCAGATTATTGCTATTTCGTGCTTTTTCTTTTACAGCTTGGTTTTTTAAAGCAAAATCGAAAAATAGGACTTTGATTATTGCTTGACATATTTGTGGAAAGTCATTCAAAATGTTTAAAGCAATGTCCAAGTATGAAAATCCATCTTTCTCAACCGCTTTCATTTCTTATCTAGACATCATCTATGATGATAGAATAACGATTCGGCAATTTAGATTTTCTATTTAAGACGATCTCAGTTTTTTTTTCTTTAAAATCCAGATGGCTCTAAAATATTTGATACAGATATACTAATTAAACATATTAGAAGTATTGGATTAACTTTACAATTGTGCTTAAATCTTTCTTTTCTGATAAATTAATTAATGCATTCCGTTTCGGTCACAGAATAAGCAAAATTAGATAAATAGCTCAAGAAATTGTTGATAAATAATAATACTGACAATACAGATGAACATTTAAATCGCAAAGTATACTGGGAACAATACAAAAACAAGATTATAATTTCATGCTGACAAATTCCTTAATGAAATTTTTAAAAAAAATTAAAGATAGTGTTTATAATATGATATTGCTACCACACAAAAAAAAAAATCTTTAAATTCACGTAATTCCAAAACTTAAACGTCAAAGAAAAGGAAGAAAAAATATAATATTTTAGACAAATTAAACAATTAAAAATGGATGAATTATGCATATCGAGACGTATACAACTGTACAGGCGAAGGAGTACAGGATGGAGAGGGAGAAGGAGGAATCGGATGGGAGTAGAAGATTAAAAAAAAGCTTCTTAAAATGGAGGAAATTAATAAAAGGGATATAAAGGAAAGATGACCGATTTGTTAGGTGGAAAACAAATAACTTTACACATGACGTCAGGTGAACGGGTATAGCGGGGGAGTGCACATTGTCATTCATTTCCAATGTGTGAATAACCTAGACTAGTGTGAGCATTTTAATTGGATTGAAATGCTATTCATATTGGTCACGAACTCACGACTCTCCTGGCCTCGAAAACACACCGGTAATTGCATATTTACACCCACAGATTAGCTGCTTACATTTGGACATGAAGTGCTTCTCATTAAGACAATGTAGGCCTAAGAATTCTCGAAAAATGAACCAATTCTTCGTTCGATGAAAATCAAAGAAAAAAATGCCGAACTTCTTTAAAAAAGACAAAAGAAACAGTCTCTGCTAACAACACCCCCCCCCCCCCTGTTTATCAGTTTTACGCCACTGACTTGCGCTATCCTTACTCAGCACGGTACCCCGTTCTGTCTCGGCCAAGATTCAACATCTGAAATGGGAGAGCCTAGAGAGGAGAAGAAATGCTGCAAGCCTCCACCTCATGTACAAGATCCAAAACAACACAGTAGCAATCAATGCACACCATTACACAGCACCCATGATTGCCAGCAACACTCGACAGTATCACTCAAAGAAGTTGCTGGCTATCCCATCCCGCACCCAGCTTTACCAGAACTCATTTTTTCCCTCGGACAGTAACTGCGTGGAATGCACTTTCAAAGATCACCCTTGACGCTACTTCACTGGAGGGCTTCAAGCGAGCGCTTCCACCCAGCATCTAGACCAAGAACTAGATAGTTTATTCCTCAGCACTATACATCCTGACTTATGGATCCTGCTGAGTATCGTCGTAGAAGTAGAAGTTTTAACTTCACGATTGGATGAAAGTTACAAATGCACGTCGTACGCTTACCACAGCCAATCAGAATCACGGTTTTCACTAAGCCGGATCCTGATTGGTCAGTGCTAATGACCGTGTACTCGATTGTATAAACTTGTGCCCAATCACAAGTTTCGTTCAATACACATAGGTACTATAATCGCAGATAACTAACGCTTTAAGCTTTTGAATTCGTTATTGCTATATAGCTGTGCGTCGATTTTCATAATGGTAACGTCACGATTGGATGAAAGTTACATAATGGTAACGTCACGATTGGATCAAAAAATAGCTTTTTGATGTAAATACCGGTTCCATAACCATGTATTATTGCTCGTACTATCCTTACATTATCAATGCCCAGTTCCTTCTTTTGAAAAGAAAAAATAATGCTTTACAAAATGTTCTCGACGTAGAAAATCTCAGTCTTTTTAATTATAAATATTTCCCCTTTTTCCGGAATCATTCTTACATCTTCTGACGAATCGCAAAAGAGGATTTGATGAAAATGTTGTGCCGTCGTACTAACCTACAAAAAAGATTATATTCTCATCAATCTTAATCCTAACTTATTTGTATCAGCACTCTGTAAAAGGAGATGGATGTAAACGTGCTAATTATCCTTATTTTTTCGCTTTGGCTAGATAAAAATAGATATAATCCGACTATTCCCTGTTATTTTGTCCTTGTATTGACAAATAATCACTTGTTAGTTAGCTCTACCACAAATTACAATATGACAGTCATTACTTTTGTCAGTAAATATGTGTTGCCATCCGGTAAAACAGTTTTATCGAAGTCGGGTGAATACGTCACTGGACTTTGGATGATCACATTGTTCGCGGTTCGAGGCCCGCGGCAGCACCAATGTCCTTCAGCAAGACATTAATTTACATTTGCCAAGGGATGGGTACCGGCTAGGATGCGAACGTTAATGTGCTTAGATTGGCATGTGTGCAGCCGGAATACTCCCCAGGGAGCAAAGCGTGTACACAATCATGTGCGGGTAGCAATTTCATCAAATGACGGGTGGTATACTCAATACAATGTAAAGCGCTTAAAATTGAGTATGGATCTAGGACTCCTACCCCCTGTACATCCACCCCTGGATAACCGCCCCCAGTCAACTACCCCCCCCCCCCAGGACACCTACCCCCTGGACATCTACTCCCTGGATAACCACCTCCAGTCAACTACCCCCCCCCCCCCCCAGTTAACTACCCACAGGACAACTACCCCCTATATAGGGCAACCACCCTCTATGACAACTTTCCTAGGGGGTAGTTGTCTGGGGTAGTTGTCTGGGGTAGTTGTCCGGGGGTAGTTGTCCGGGGGTAGTTGTCCTAGGGGGTAGTTGACCTAGGGGTAGTTTTCTGGGGGGTAGGTGTCTGGGGGTATTTGTCTTTTGGGGTAGTCGTCCTAGAGAGTGGTTGCCCTAGGGGGTAGTTGTCCTAGGGGTAGTTGTCCTAGGGGTAGTTTTCTGGGGGGTAGGTGTCTGGGGGTATTTGTCTTTTGGGGTAGTCGTCCTAGAGAGTGGTTGCCCTAGGGGGTAGTTGTCCTAGGGGTAGTTGTCCTGGGGGTAGTTGTCCTAGGGGGTAGTTGACTGGGGTGGTTATCCGGGGGTGGATGTCCAGGGTTGGTTTCAGGATACGATTCAGACTTACACGGAGGAAGGACGGTTGTAGAAATTGAATCACTACAGTTCAATTGCAGTGTGAATCCTTAGAAAGATTTGTAAAGCGATTTGTGATATAGAAACCATAAAACGCAATGATGTATGTGTGCATGTTTAAGACGAAGCAAGGGCGTTGCATTGACGCTTGGGAATTGAAAAGTAGTATCGTCAAAAGGTTTTTTTTTAAATAAAAAAGGTCTTAGACCTTTTTTTTTTTTTTTTTAACCTTACTAGAATTGTTTTTATAAAACGCTTGGTGGGAAAGGAACAAAGAGATTCGAGATTGGCTTCGTATATTGTTTACGAATTTGGAATCATACTCTCTGCTAAACGATCAAAATCTTTTTTCTTTAATTAATCATACTCTTGATTGGGTGGAAGATAATTTTGCTCTTTTTTCTCACCCCCTCCTTCTTTCTGCCAGAACAGAAAAAGAAGAAAGGAAGAGAGGGCAAGGGAGAAGTAAATAGAAATAACAACATTATTTAGATGAAATGTTTATGCAAAATATAGTAGGTGACGGTTACTCCGATCTCGAAATGTTTTGATTTCTCGAGGGTTTTGGCCCCTCACCCAGCCCCCTCCCACGCCTCCTCATACGGTATGCATAATGAGAGTACCTTTCCTTTTTTTTTGTTCCCTCACCATCCATCTTGTGTTCCTTTTGTACTCTTCCATGTTCACATTCACCGTCATCTTCCTATTTTCTAGCTTTCTTCTTTTTCTTCGAGTTCTTTTTCTGCTTCTTCTTCTTCTTCTGCGTGATTTAAATTAGGATGACCAGTAAGTTATTAAATGCACGATTAGAATTTTAATTAAATCAACGCACATATTTCCTTGTCAAAGACCCCCATTAATTATAAGCAATAAATCCTAAAGGATTGGTATTCTAATTCTCTCCATAAACATCTTCAATAATTTCCATCATTTTTTATTGTTACTTTCAGTACCTGACAGCACTCATGCAAAGGATGTATCACTCTTCCTTCGGCTCTGACCATGCCGCCGTCCCCCGGATAAGCGACAACACGCTCCCGTTCGGCCTCGGGCTCGGGGCCATGGGGACCAAACTCTCCCCACCATCGACGACGTCTAGCGGTCCACTAACAACGCAGGACGACATCGTCCACCACGCCGCCCCTCCTCATCGACAACCGATGTCGCCCGAGAGCGCGAGCGGGGAGATGATCCTCCCCGATGCCTCATCGGCGAACACTGTGGGGAGGTCGCTGGGCGGTGGAATGGGCGGAGGCCCGAGGACGGGACTCGAGCTCGGCGGTCACCTGGTTGCGGGTCTGCCTACTCCGTTGGAGCGGTCAATGAGTACAACAACGGACATGGATCCCCTCGAGTCGCCGTCGTCGAGGACGGTAATGGGGTCGGTTGGGTGTGATGAAATAGCGCCATCTCCCGGCGGGATAAGGGACGATCCTGACGCCGTGATTTTGGATGATAACGGTGAGGAAATGAAAGGTAAGCGTGCATGTACTCAGAATGAATCATTTTCATCCTTTTCGGAGGCCAGTGCAAAACGAAAGTCGATAATAATATATTGCAATTTGCTTCGTCCTCTCGTTGTTCTTCTGAAATGCACCTCTACCCCCCCCCCCCTCTCTCTCTCTCTCTCTCTCTCTCTCTTTGTCTATTCCTTTCCATTTTCACTTTCAGTGACATTGTTTCTCCAATTTATCATAATGTTCTACCAAACCTTACCTATTACGCTTACTTTTTATTTTTAAGTCTTGAGTGCCTTGTTCTACTTGCGAATTTTATTTCCCAAACATTCACCCGGACTCATTAATCATTAATGGATCCGAAGCAAACACCATATTTCTTGGATTTTCTCATGACGGGCAACGATTGCATTAGAACAGGGTTCCAACCATAGAGATATATACTTATCTCTATGGTTCCAGCTTATTCGCTGTCATTAATTAGAACAGCAGATGGCGTCCTTCATTATCACTGCAGGAATATTTTTCTTCTTCTGCTCAAAAGCATGTCACTCCCAAAACTGATTCTAATTTTCAAGAACGATAATACAACCGAGAATAAGAGTTCAACAACATTAGTTCCAATGTGATCTGGATGTTACTGTAATTGTAATTGCGATCGATTTGTTGGTTTATTTATCATCTTTCGATATAAAAAAAAAAAAATCCGACCATACATATTCATGTGCATGGATGTAAAATTTACATTTGACGCATACATGAATATATGAATTACATAAACATGATATAATAAAGCAGGGCTACAGCATAATCATAAAGCTTGCAGTCCTTATACTGATGATGTATGGAATTCGTAGATGACGAACTTATCACTATATTTATGGAGTTTGGTCTTAAACGTTATGATATCGTGACGACACAAAATTAATCATAATTCAAAACTTAATTATAATAATTTTGTTGTCGGCGTTCGGGGCGCATAACTTAATATACCTTCAGGTTCGTCATTATGTTTCTGTGACAAAGTAAACTGATAATAACTAAATAACTGTGTACAAAGAAAATGCCCGTTTCTGTTAAAAAAATAATTTCCACAGGTTATCACTGAAAGCAATATGTGCTATAATCTCGTCTGGTTCGGGCCGGTGAGTCGGGCGGGTCACCATCGCATAGGCCTAATCAAAATTTGAAACAACGATTTCATTTCATGTTTGTCAAACTAAATCTATCTGCTGCGAATATCAGCATTGTATTTTATGAGCTAGCAACAACATGTGTTATACTATTAGCAATATGTAGTTATGGAATGTTTTGGCCGTGTCCATCTTCAAACACCAATGTTTCGGACCTGAATCATGGTTTAAAAACACGTTTCATAATTTTCCACATTGAAAAAAAATTGTAACATTCTTATAGCAAATAGCTGAATAACACATAATATCTTCGAACTTTTATTCAAGGTTATTTAGTCACAGTTTATGATGATGTTGTGAGTTATTTGATGACTGCATTTGCCACATTAATTTAAAAGTTACATTTTTGTTGGTACGAAGGGGAACAAGTATGCCCTATTGTCCTTGGGACCATTAAATTTATTGGTACCCCAAATGTAAATTGGGCTCGTAAAGACCAGCTTGAGAAGAAATCACATGATTACATAACATGGAGAGTGGGGGAAGAGAGAGATGGTTAGAAGAGAGAGAGAGAGAGAGAGAGAGAGAGAGAGAGAGAGAGAAAGGGGAGAAGTACCGAAAAAGTCAGTGGCCGAGAAAGAAATGAGAGGAGAGAGAGAGAAGAAAAAATGGAGAAGAGACAGAAATGGGAGGCGGCAGGTAAAAGTCTCATTTAGGGCGGAAAGATTGAACAAAAAAGAAAACATTAACATTCCAACACCCCTCTCCAACTGGTTTTTGCTTTTTAAAATAATTATTACAGAATTTTGTATGTATGACACGTTCGTTCGATGTGTATTCTTGACTGTAGGAGAAAACAAAATTCTCTATGAATGGAATGGAAGAATATTCGTTAATTGGAAATTTTTTAGTTTGACCACACAAGATCAGAAATGACCAGTCCTATCAAAACAACGACTGTCCGCTCAGACTAATACTCCGTGATGGATCCAAAGAATTTAGGAGTTTCCTGTGGCCAGCGAATATTACATAAAAACCAAATCGTTAAATTTGCCGACCTGTGCATCAAATGACTATACCATTCCCCCCTATTATTACCTCAAAAGTATTCCAACTTTTTATTGGCATCGTACCACTTGTAAAAAAACCGTCACGCCATTACCGGTGGTCTTTTTAGTGGAAAGAGTAACTCATTGCTTAATTTTTTCTGCAATCATTGACTGCATCATTAGCCTGCTTGTGCTTGAACTAGCGTTGAAGGTGTTTTTCTTGCTTGGTAAATCAAGACCTGACGGTTTGAGATTCCAGATTGGATCGTGAAGAAACTGTGTGTTTGATCTTGATCATCATGTCGCATCGCATTGCTGCTTTCACCGAGCGTGATGGTGATGGTGTCCCCGCATCTCTGGGGAAGAAGATGATCAAAAAGGAGGAGGGTAAGGCCGGAACCTTTCGTCATTCCTTTTAAGTTTTAGTTTTGTTTTACACAACTTGGCTTTGCTTTTTAAACCGATTTCTTTGTTGAGCTTCATCGGCAATGACCTGTACTAACCCAGTTTTCTGAACATTCAATTCTTCTTGGAAAAGATTCTGTCCTTCAATGTTCACGAAGCGACTTTTATAGGTTTCCTTTTTTACCATTATTTATGATTATTACCTTGACATTTGCACTTCACAAGTACGAAACCTTGATGAAGCGCGACTCTGACGGGACAAGAATCCTTGTGAAATTTCAAGAGATCGGGGGATGAGCGTAATTTATTCATCTGCATGTCATGAATCGTGAGGTCGTAGTTTCATTTCTTACTCCTTGAAATACAGATCAATTTTTAATTTCAGTGCTTGTCAAAGTTATGGAGTTGTTGCAAAGAACATTGACAAAATAAACGAAGTAATTTTTACTTCGAGTATTTTCATAGTCAATAATTTATTGTGCTATCTCGGCAAGATAGCTACATGTAAGACACTGTTTCTCTCTCTGATGTTCGATATCAGCGTAGATAGATGTAGGCTAAATTTCACATGGATTCTAGATTGTAATTTTAAATGTTACGTGTTCTAAAGAAATGGCATTATGAGAACAATAAACATGACAAACTAAATAGAATTACTTTAGTATGAGAAAGTAGTAGAATGCACGTAAATACCCTCTTTCAATTGTACACCGTGTTTGTCATTTTTGTGAGGATATTTTGACTTTGCATTGCTCATTTGCTTCCACTCATCTTTGCCTTCCACTATGTGAATTGTTCGTTTTAAGAGCCAATCCTCGTGTGTTTATTTTCCCTACATCGTGTACATGACACTAGTAAAGATAATGTAATAAATTTAATACTTATAGAGTAGTATTGATCTATTGATCGTATGTTTCCTTCGTAATACCGTCGAAATTCCTTCGAAATACCGTCAACTATATCACATATTTCTCCTCTTCAAGTAGATCAATTTTTCTTTTATATTAACAACTCATTTTACTTCTGAGATAAAGGGTAACGCACCGACCGACCTGACCAAAAAAATAACCGACGAATTAATCCGATCGCCGGAGGGATTAGTGAAAGTCTTACTGTTAATCCTAAATTGATCTTTGTCTGAGCTTCTATAGTTATCTGACAAAGTGCCAGGGTTCCAAACTAATACAAGGATTGTGGGTTTCATTTGGAAATGTTAAACTTTCTCTACCTCTTAAAGGAGTTCAACTTAAGTTGACCTTAAAGACCTCATAAAGACTATAGTATGCAAAGTGTAGCACTAATTAATGGGGGAGAATGATATGTAATATCTATAATTATTTGTTAAACGTATTTCTTTAAGACTCCAAGCCCTGAACTACTCACACATGCAGTTCTGTAATATATATATATATATATATATATATACAATATCATGTACAGGTATTTACTTCTTTTTGTTTGTCGTTTATGTTGTGATATTTTTGGAGGGGGTTCATGGTTGGGTTTCTAGCATTCTTTTTTTCTATGCATATATGGCTCTCTTATTGGGGGGGGGGGGCTTGAAGACTTTGTTTGACAAGAGATAAAGATGTAAAATAAGCCAAGTACAGTTGATTCCTTGTTTCTCGTCCGGATTTTTCGAAAATGAGGAGGCGAGTGTTTCATGTTATTTGATATTTGATTATTCGTCTGTATGTATGTATTTTTTTCTTTTTCATTATAACGTTTTAATGCGTTTTTCCCTCTGTTTTATTTTACTTGTACATTCAAATGTTATTGCCATTGGATGATTTGGGCCAAATTGAATTCAACTTGTATTTATTTATGAGGTAGGCCAAAATTACCATAGAAAGACCTTTCATCACCCCTACGATATGAAAATAGGTGGGGAGTTTTTAGGGGAAAGTAATTTCACTGGAAACTGAAAGGTACCCTGTCCCGTCGATCAAAAATTATCAATGGGTCGCTGACAAAAAGCTGGGTGGAGTCGTTTAATGATGTTAAACTCTACACCCTGTTAATGAGTAATAGATGACGGAAAATTGACAATTAATCGGTGCCAATCTTGTCATCATGTTGTTGATGATGTCGAGCATCCGCTAGAGAAAGTTTGTAAAAATTGTCCACGACACCATGGGTATGTTGTAATTGCGTATTTCGTTCAAGAAAAAATTGCGGTTATTGTTTTTGAGTGGTATTTTTTAATTAGTTCTTTAGAAGCCACACAGTGTCCTAATTCGAGGGGTCGGGAGAGTGTGTGTTTGTGTGGGGGGGGGGGCAGAAAGTGTGGATAGATTCATGAGTTCATAAATAGCTTCACTTTTTCTCTAAAAGTATACTAGTACTAAGCGTAAGTGAATGACGATGATGATGATGAAAGTAATATTAGGCCTAGTGATAAAAATAACAATACCACTACTACTAATAATACTACTAATAATAGTAATAATAATTATGATAATGATAATATTAATAATAGTAATAATAGTAATGATAATGATAACGATAATGATAATAGTAATAATAATAATCAAAATGATAATGAATAATGATAATAATAATAATAATAAATTAATTAATATATTGAATAATGATAATAATCATACTGATAATGATATTAATGATAATATAATAGTAATGATAAAAATATTTCCTACACTAATGATAATGATAAAAATGATAATAATGATAAGAAGAAGAAGAAGAAGAATGATAAGGATTATAAAAGTGAAAATTATCAGCTAAAGAATTCTTTGGAGCATAGTTATGTGTGTTTTGTTTTTTAAAGCGACTTCATGTGCGTTCTCCTTAGAAATATAAAACAAAACTCAACTATTTCTACTGTTCGTGCAATCAAACTCAACTTCTATGAAATAGTAGGTTCCTAGAATTAAGTAATAGCATGGATCAGATATTAGATTCGTCATTTCTTTTGTCTTTCCGTTCTCGCTGGTGAAAATAATCAAAATCAAACTGGAAATCGTACCCGTTTTTTGACAATAGCGTAGGAAGAGGAACAATTAAAATTCACGTGATGTGTGCGATATGGACGTGTGCAGCTGTTTCGAAAAGGGAGTGGACCTTTTGAGTTGGGGAACTTTTAGAAGCAGCATCGGAGTTTTTTATTTCAATTTCCGCTAGGGAGACAGATTGGAGAATAACAGGGTCTAATTAATCGGACCAGGGCTAGCGTGTTTGATACATAATTGGGATCAACTTAGGTGTGGTAAAAATGCTAAAAATAATGCACGTCATTGATTTGCTAGATTGTCCTTTTTTGTGTAGATCAGGCGGCATGGGCACGCGGGAAAGAGGGAAATTCGTTGATGGCCATAAAATGATGGAGTGATGGTGGGCACAGGGGGAAAATGGGGATGGAGAGATGTATGGAAGATGAGAAGGGAAGCGATGTGGAATTGTAAGGTTACAATTTTTTTTAGAATTTTTGTTTAATAGAGGGGAGACAATGACAGAGAGAAGTGTGTGTGCGTGTGTATGGGTGTGTGTTTGAGAGAGAGAGAGGACATAAAGGAGAGTGGGAAGACTTATAAGACGCTGAAACAAAAGGGTTATCCACAATCAGGTAAAACAGAGGTCAAACAGAGAGGACACGAACTAGGTAGATTTTTCAGACAATCAGAGAGTTTTTGAAGAAAAGCTTATTTTACGGCGATAATTATGTTATCTCAGTTATGATCATTTGTAACGAGTATTTGTTTTGTACATGTGTACAGCCTTGTTGTAAGTCTACCATGAACTTTCAAATTGGAAATATAATTTATAGGCAAAATGAACTAAATCACTCTTAGATCATCCATGTACTGTTATCTGCACAAATCAATTTTAGACCCCATCGAGGCCTACAGGTAATATTAACAAATTAATTTTAGGCCCAACCAATTACTTTGACTCTATAACCATACAAGCCTGATGGGCTAATTATTTGGGAAGTATTTACTGCCGATATGTAGAGTATACATCTATTTCCATGTCAGACTTGTCTCTGTCGTAGAAAACAAGCCTTGGAGTTTGGAATAGGGCGATTCTTTTACCCATTTTCCCTCTCCAGCCCAATTTTATTTGGACAATTGTTATCGGGCTCAAATCCATTGGGCATTACTGCCTGTTTGAATAAATTACATCGCCTGCGACATCTAGGGGTCGCTTCACATCGAGAAGTTAGTCTCCAGTAAATGTTTAATGAAACACATCTTCATGTGTTTCGGTTATGCAGGGACTTGGGAGATCGAACAATTGACAGCAGTGGCGGATCCATGTGTCTGTGGGGGAGGGGGGGAGGGCAGGGATGCTATAGCCAGAAAATATTCTCTTTAAAAAAATATATATCCGGCAAAGGAAAGGAAGTGGGAAATATATCAGATATACATTTCAATACTCAAACTGATCCCGGGGGACACATTAAGGGGCATAATGCATATTTTATGCACGATTTTTTTTTTTGAGCCTAATGCATGGTTTTGAACGCCCTATCCATTATTTAAAAGTTTTTTTGTGAAAAAAGAGGGCCTTATTAAAGTTACCTTTTAAAAAATGCTCTGCTACTGAAGCCAGTTTGGAGTCTGTCCATGTCTCGGTTTCTGTACCTTTATGTATTTCTTCTTCGTCTTTTTACTTCCAAGTCATTATTATTATCATCATTACATTAATTCTATTGAAATATTCATTCTTTTTTAGTTGTTATCATTGTCATCATACTTGCTATTATAATTATTATTATTATAATTATTATTGTTATTATTAATATTAATATTATTAGTATTATTTTTCATCATTATCATTATCATCATTAACATTATATTCATTTTCGTTGCTGTTTTTTTGTTGACGTTGTTTTCCGCCTCTTTCTATATGTAATACATTTTTAAAAACTTTTAGAAATAAAGTCTGGGCCCATTTATCACCTTGTCATTTGCTCACCTTTTCCTTTCTCGTATTGATAAAATAACAAGAAAATGTGGCTT